ATTTCACTTTCTAAACCAAATCTATGACGCATTTAAAAACTTCGCTTTTCTTTTATTTTCTTTTATTTCTCTTCAACTCCAGCTTTTACTATACGATTGATAGAATAGCGCAATAAAGAGCAAAATAACGTAGTGATAAGATTGAATATTTGTAGTAAAAACTGTTGGTAAACTTACTGTCTTACAACAAAATTAAGTGATTACTGAGATAACAGTTTCAAACAGATGCAGTTGTTGTTCCAAACACAAAGTGCAAGGAGGTGAAAGCGTGAAAATTTAGACCTCTGAAGACCAGGCAAAGTGTAACAAACATGGTTCAGATTTCAAGCATATAGTTTGTAACCAAATTTTTGGAATATGCAATATGCAAAATAATGCTTAACCAACGCAGTGTGTGGATTATCATTCACAAATAATTTTGAGCGTACATCTCGTCCAACGTATCCTTGTACATCTTTCCAATACATTTGAAGGCATGATCATTGTAATGTGTTTTGTCATCAAAAAATGAACATTAGTTATCAGGATCAAAAACACGACATATCTGAAACTCATTATTAGCTTTGCTCTGAAAAATAGAGCAAAAAATATTTCAATTAAGGAAGAAACTACAAAGCTCTTCAGTTCCTATTTTCATAAAGAGAGAAATAAGATAAGTAAATTTGCTCAGTGAGTAGCAGAACTTACTTTAGAGTCGCAAAAAATTTCATGTGGGTACATTTGTTAACTTTTAGCTTAGCGAATTTAAAGACAAATATAGAAATAAACATTGATAAGCGCCAAAAAAAAAGAGAGATGGCGATTTAAGATGGGAGAGAGAAAGAAGGTTGAGAAACAAAATTTACTTTGCAAAAAGAGCAGTAATCCAATAAAGTGTGAGAAAAACTTATCTAAAAAGTAAAACAATCTTGACTACAGTCACTTCAAAATTTCTTGATCCTTCTCTACTCAATATTCAAGATATAGACTTCCGAGGTACTTAAAAAAAAAGTGATTCGCTTCACCACGTTAGCTTTAGGCGTAATACATCAGATCGTTTCAAGAGCAATTCTTAATTTTTGACGTCTTCTTATGTATCAGCTTCACCGAAACTTGTGAAGTTTATCAGCTGCAAATATTCTGCTGCAAAAAAATAATTATCTATTAAATGCAAAAGTTAACTTCAGTTCGTCTCAGAATTTAAGCCAGTTTGCTTCGACTGCCTTGACTTTTTGAATGGTGGAGCAGCGTTTGATTTTTATCACATGTAGTAGTTTCATCTAAAATAAAATTTTTTTTGAAAAGTTTCATATGGAATACATAAGTGTGCAATATGTAGCTACCCCATGTCCCTTTAAGTTTGCAAACCGTTACAATCAGGCATTACTGACCGTTATAATCTCCTCTTTATCTCTGCCAAATAGCAGCGCCAAATGAATGTTGAGTCCAAATTCAAGCTACCCACTAAGTGTTATTTTTGTCTTTAGTTGATCGGTTCGATCAGCTGCTGTCGACTTATGAATACTGAGTTGAGATGAAGCTACCAGAAGAATAGTGATCTTGAAAAAATTCACAACTCTTTCTGAATTTGGCGGACTAAGTGCGTGCATGCACTATCACAAAACTAGCTTTATTCCGGTAAAAGGTTACAATACGCCATATTTTGCAGTCAAATACTGCTTTTTATGCGATACTACCTTTATAAAAATCTGTAGAAACCACATCTTCAAAAGTTCTAAAGCTTTTAAGGAAAACCCGTATTTGTATCTCAAATTTTTTGCCGATGGAGTAATTTATTTTAGCTTCATTTATAGACAGTAAATATGAAATAAATATTTTCAAAATTTCAACTTCCAAATAAATCAATATTTGCTTGCCTACAAAAGTTGCTTATCTTACTAACTGAAAATAAATTTAAGTCAACAGCTTTCGGATACACCAGTTTGTAAAACTTTTTTATAGATCAAGAAAAGATCTGCATCAACTGAAAAATTAAGATTCAACAGCGTTTTAGCTATATTTTTAGCAAACAAGCATAAGGTAGAGCATAAAGAACTTATAATAAGTGGTTCAGCTAAAAATGGCAGAAGCAAGTAAACTGTTCCACTAGGTTAAACAAGTTATTAAATTGTTTCTACTCATAAGGTTTTTTTTTGTTTGCGAATAGAAAAAACTGCCAAAATCAGTGATGCATTGTCGCAAACAACAATAAACTATGCGTATCCTTGAATATCAGTTATGTGTTGTCGTTGCTGGTAACCAGGTAGCAAAAAAAAAATAATAATAATAATAATAATAATAATAATAATAATAAATCGAATAATATCTGCAAGAGCCCAATTTATTAAATTTTAATTAAACTGCAGCTACATACAAGCTGACGTTTTCAACTTTTCCGGTATAGAGACAAAACTTATTGAAAAAACTATTCAAGAATTTGTCTTTTAGCTGAAAACTCTACAGGATAATAGAAACGTGAAAAACGGAAACTTTCGATACATAAAATCGATTCAGTAGAACAACTTATTTAATAGTCATCGCACAGTCAGCCTCATTCACAGTATATGTGGTCATTTTAGTTTTATGTAACCTCTATAAAACTTATTGATTTAGTGGAATTGGCTTGTATGACAAGTTGTAAAATTATCAACATCACAGGCGAACATTGAACGATACGCAGTGAAGTGCTGAAAAGCGGAAAAACAGCCATTTCGAATAAGTGAAAAATGTATATAGGTAAAAAGTGGCGTAGCTAATATGAAACTTCAAATGAACAAATGTTCTCATAGACAAAGAATTTTGTCAACCTTGCGAAGAATATCAATTCAATGAAAAACAACTAAACTTTTTGAAGAATTAATTTAACAAACCGTCTAAGGATTTTTTGAACAAAAAAGTAGAATAGATCAAAAAAAAGTGGGCAAAATGAGCTGTAATTTTATTTACCTAGATTAGTGACAGAGCAGCGAAAAGAATATTTAGTAAAATAGAAAAACCAGTAGAAAGCAAAATATAACTATATCAAAGTCAGAGACTAGTGATATCAAATTTTTACTAAGCCTTTTTCGTTTCACATGTTATACGTTTTAAACTTGAAAAAAAAATAACTTATGTTCAACAACTTCTTTGTTTTCTACAACAGCTGTATCAACAAGATTCATGTTTTCGAGTTAAAATTGTTAAATCAAATGCTTACATCTTTCAGGTCAAATCTGTTATTAAAAGTGATTCAGTTGACAATCAGCAGCTAAAATTTTAAAATAATGCAGTAGCCGTAATGAAACATAATAGAGAAATATTGTAAATCATCTAGCTGATTAGCTAAAATGTTGTCACTTCTTAAAAAAAGAAAAGGAAATATTGAAAAGTGCACAACAAACGCCAACACAGAAAAACAGTTAGATTTAAAATTGAGTTATTTGTTTCTTTTATATCTTTTTCCAACAAACTGGCAAATGTTTGTACCACCGTGTCAATGCTTGACTTTTTCTTCTTCCTTTCACCAGTAAAAAAATCTCCAAAGTTTTGGACAAAAAGCCTTGATTTTTGTGTTTGGGGTGTTATATTGTTTCAATGATTCTAACTTGTCAGATACACACTGTGATGTATATATGAGAGATATATTTGCTGTTAAAGTGTTATTACGTATTATATACCTAGTAAAGTTTTCAGCAAATTCAGTTATAGTTGAATAGCGTTTTTACTGACGGCAGTGATGATGAAATTCGATGACCATAACGATGGATCATCAGATGTTTAGTCGACTATTTGGTACTTGTTTCAAAATTGAAAGATATGCAGTATTTAATCTTGACCAGTGTCGTCGTTTAGCGCTGATTATATCCGTAAGGTTTTTATCTGTCTATGTTCATTTTGCAACACCTTTTCCTTTGTCTTTTTTAAGTATTCTATAAATTGAAAAGAAATTTGCAAAAAATTAGCTAGTCGTTAGGTGCTAATTGACCTATTAAAGACACTGCCGTTAATCTTAAATGAATGGGATATTAGATTGATTTTTAAGTGGGCATTTTTTTTTAACAATAATTTCTTTCACTCAAATTTTTTGTAACTTATTAAAGTTACTTGATGCATTCTGATACTGTTCTACCAGACTCTAGAATTTTTGAAGAAAACAGAGTCTGAGAATGCCAGTGAATGTTTTTTAAGTGCTTCAGTTTCCACTGACAACCAAATTTTAACCGCTGTTATTGCAGTAACCGTCGTTCGGTTCTGTATGTTTTGCAAGTTTTAAGAGGTTAACTAGTTTTTTTTTCCATTTCTCAAAACTTCCTCACGCTTAGTGCATTATTTTTAATCAACGCTGTGCATATTGTTGTTGTTGTGGATAGAAAGTAGGGGGGACTTGAAATTCGCCGTTTTGTCTTTTGCAATAGAATAAATTTTTACAGGAATGTAGTTTTCAATGCAACTAATGACATGTATATTTATTTCTGTTGCTGTTTAGTGTTTAATACTATCTTCGTATGTCATGTCTCTCCTCTTACACATCAAATTTTCATTTCGTGGAGAAAGAGTCAGTGAAAATAGAAGAAGAAAAGTGTGAGAAAATATTAACACTTTTTGTTTCCGTTCTACAGGAAAAATCTGAGTAGTAGGTTTTTATTTTTGCTGCCTGAAACAGTCAATTATTCTTTCTTTTATTTATTTTTAATGGTTTTGCAGTTTTCTAGTAGATTATTTTGCAACTTATATGCTTCATCTGTACATATCGTTTTCTGAATCAATGAGGAATCAATTTTTTGCTTTGACAACATGCGGTTTGTTTCCTTAGAGACAATGTCTTCTACATATCTATTACCCTAACAAACCATAACACTCTTTCTTATCGATGTGCTCTAGTTTTTCTCTCGCAACGTAATGGTCATCGTGTTTTATTAGTGTAAAAAATGCCAAAGATTCAAACGATTAAGTTGTCGCTAAATCCTACCCATTAATCTAACTAGAATAATATAACTGAACAAAAGGAAAAAGATTATTTTGATAATAAACAAAATTAGTCGATGGAGAAGAAGGAAACTGTAAAGAAGTTTAGCTCCAGTTCTACGGCTTTAGAGGTGACTGAGGGAGTAGATCTGAACGGCAAAACTGTTTTGGTAACCGGTATGTATGTATTTTGGCTTTGAATTTTTTTCCGTATAAAAAATGGTATTTATGTAAAAAAGACTTACTCTGCTCTTAAATTAACGTACCATAACTGTTGCATTACTGCAGGCTGTACTTCTGGGATTGGAACTGAAACTGCTAGAACATTAGCACTCAGAAATGCGCATGTTGTTATGGCTAATAGAAATCAGGAGCAATCGATGAAACTTCGAGATAGAATTCGTGCTGAAATGGTCGTTCAAAATTTGTTACTGCTGTACAATGAAGCGTAGTTGTTTGCAACTGACAGAAAGCCCTTTTCTGCTTATTAACCACATCTTATTTTACTTAGACTGACTATTCTGATTTCAACTTAGTTCACTTTTTTCAAGTTTCAAAAGGAAATTCTTAATGTGTTTGATCGTATATCCGCTGTTTCGTGAGCGTTGGATTATGAAATTTTTTCACAGTCTTTCCATAAAAAATCAGCAGTAGAAAAGTTTAGTTCATTTTTTAATTTTAGATGAATTTTATCGGTAGTAGCGCAGAAAATCTTTGCATAATTCTGTTAATAAAGCATTTTTTTAAAGTTTTTTTGCTTGTTTTTTTCAGAATGAGTGATACGAGATAAACTACCAAGTTTCAGCCAAATGCTAATATTGATCTTCTGGAACTGGATCTGAGCTCACTAAAATCTGTAAAGAAGGCTGCAGAGGAGTTCTTAGCTAAAGACTGGTAAGTTCTCTGTTATTTTACAAGCGCTTCAGTTTTTAATGGCACCTGCAATTTTTATTTGCTGGACTTTCTTTTTAATCTTTATTTAAATTTGTTCCAGGAAATTGCATATTCTAATTCTTAATGCCGGAGTATTTTCACCATCAGTTAAAAAAACGGTCGATGGATTCGAAATGGCATTTGGTGTCAATCATTTAGGGCACTTTTATTTAACCTATCTGCTTCTTGATAGGTTACGACAAAGTTCGCCTTCACGAGTCGTTGTCGTCACTTCTGTAACTCACAAACACTCTGGGGTTTGTTCTTGTCGGTTACGTCTATTCGGATCCTAAATTAGTCAGATAAAGAATTCTGTAAATAATTTGTTCAATTTTTCTTTACCTTAAGTAATTACTAAACTTGATAAGTACTTAATGTTTCTTGATTTCCTAAAACT